TGGTTCTCAGCTTCATCACTGTAAATTGAGAAGATTCTCTTAGATGATATCTAAGCTCTTTTAATGATTTTTTTTTCCTTTTTATGACATCAAATGAAAAATAATTCAGTAAGTGAGGAAGAAGCATGTCAGATCCTTAGACATGGACGTGTGGATGTAATGTGAAGTATAGCCCTTCAGGGAGTTTAGGGGTGAGTGTCTAAACAGAAGCTAGCTAGCTAATGGCAGAAACAGATTAAAAAGTAGTTACAGGAGGCTTTTCAAATCAAGTAGCAACATTGCAGGGATATATTTGGGACAGGGGCTATGAAAGGAAGTAGGGGTTGAAAATATTGAATTTAGAAGCTCATTTTTATTGATATTATTAGTTTTAAATGCTTTAAGTTAGACTAGAGAGAAGCTGCCTCTGGTTAATGCAAAGAGGAGGAGCTGAGCCTCAGTGAAAGCAAAACCAAGGGTGTACTGTAGGACTTTACAGAGCATCCTGGGCCCTGTGTGAGCAAATGTTTGGCTGCTGTTTTCCCAGTCTTCTTTTTCTCTGCCCTCATTCCCTCAGTGTTGTTCTTAGAAGTTCCGATCTGGAATTGAGCAGAAATCTAGTTCTTAGCAGATATTTGTTCTGTTTGTACTTTGAAGGATTTTGTGTATAACACTGTCAGGTATTGGTAGAGATTTTTAAAATATACTAAATAAACAGATAAACTTGATTCAGCATTAAGGGATTTGACCTGTTTTGTCTGCCATTTTTTAAAGCACCATGACATTTGAATTTTTTTTTTTTCCTGTTGCAGTTCTTTTCAGATATTCAAAGGTCTTGATTGCTGAAATACTTTTTTTAATATATACATTTTAAGGCCATTATTGTTTTCATGGTTTTAATGTCTCCAACAGTTTTATTATCCTGAAGCAAACCATATTTTTGCTCTAACAGAGTTTAGGTTGTAAAATCAAACATTTGATTATTCATTTTAGACTGTGCTTGCAATACTTCATTTTAAAACATCAATATTATATTCATCTGGATATGAGGACCCTAAAAAGTAATCCTCTGGCAAATAATTGAGGCAAGTGATTGGGGAATCTGACTTCTGCTTAACCTTTCAGCTCATAAAGACCAATTGCCCAAAGATATTACTTTTAGGTTCTAATGTAAAGAATTAATATTTCTAGACTAAAAAAAAATTTAGTGCACTCTATAAAATTGCCATCACTTTTAAGCATAGTCACCCTTAGGAAGCTGTTCTGCAGTTCTTAGTCCATTTAGTCTACTTTTTATAGTAAGAGATTAACAACAAAAAAAAAAACCTATGGAATATTTTAAGATTTTGTGTTGGATAACATCTTGGAAAAGAAAATAGATAGTTTTATTTTAAGACTAATAGCCAGGAAAAAAAAAAAAACACCCAAGACTTTTTTTTTTTCCCATTTATTTTTATTAGTTGGAGGCTAATTACTTTACAGCATTGCAGTGGTTTTTGTCATACATTGAAATGAATTAGCCATGGATTTACATGTATTCCCCATCCCGGTCCCCCCTCCCACCTCCCTCTCCACCCGATCCCTCTGGGTCTTCCCAGTGCACCAGG